GGCCCTAGGTGCAAGCAGTATAAACTAATTCTGGCTGATCTGAGCTAAAAATAAATGTAGTGGAAAGATGTTAGGTGACCCGCAAGAAAGCCTAAAGAGCTAAGTTCATGAGATTGACAGGAACTCAGAGGTTAGATTGAAGGAAAACACAACTAAGGTTATATCAAGGTGGAGTCTGGGTGGATGTTTCTGGATTCCCATCACTACACTGATCCCAGATACCGCTTTCATTCAGAGGCAGGCTACTGTCAGTCACATCTGACCACGTGGCTTTGTGGGTCAGGCACTGTCTGTACACCTAAGTCACATGGTTATCTGATGGATCATGGTCAGACGTCCTCCTTAGTCAGGTGTGTGGTACCTTACTCATAAAAGGGCCCAGAACTAGGCAAGAGCTGTTACTTCAGAGGAGAATTGCTGTTAAAAGGTGAGTTTTATGGTATGTAAACTGTATCTCAATAAAGCTGCTTTAAAAGGAGCATTGCATAGCTAAGACATTTAGTATTTCACTGTGATTGCATTTTCTTTTGGTTCAAGTTTTTATTGTCTCTGGAGTTGATTATTGCCTTAATTTTTTTTATGTGTTTGTTTAATTTCTATGTCCCATCATTAACTTATTCTCAGAGTTTCTACCAGAGTTTAAATATCCTTTCAATACTTCCAAACACATCACCTATTTTGTTTCATCATTTTCTTAATGTGTTAGCACTACATGTTCCCATTGATTTCTGGTCAACAGAGATATTTGTTTCATATGGGAGAATGTCTTCACTCTCGTATCTTTCTTTAACTGTAATTGCCATTTTTTGGAACAGAGAGGAACTCAATTAGCATCTTCCTTTACACTCCTGCTCTCTCTCCCACCCACCACCACCACTACTTGTTTTTTGGACACAATTATTCAGATTAAGAACATTTTTATTATGGTATGTAAACTGTATCTCAATAAAGCTGCTTTAAAAGGAGCATTGCATAGCTAAGACATTTAGTATTTCACTGTGATTGCATATCTGTTGAAACTTAGCAAATGTTCTTCTATCTTTATTGAAATGACTACATAATTTTTCTCCTAGATTTTGCTATGCCATGCACACTGATTGGTTTTCACAGTTAAACTAATTTTTAATCTCAGGTTGGTCACAATATAATATTCTTTTTCACCTCCTCATTTGTTTGCTAGTATTTTGTTTAGATTTTTATATCTGCAATTATGAGAGACATTGGCCTAGATACACTGGGATGTTATCCCTTTGCCAATATTTTCTGGAGAGTTTATGTAAGATTGGAATTATTTATGCTTTAAGTGTTTGGTACAATTTCACCAAGGAAGCCATCTGACATTAGAATGTATCTTTTTAATATTTTAAATTACAAATTTAATAGCTAGAAGACTGTTAGATTTCTCTCCGTTGGTGTGTTAGTTTTGATAAGTTGGTTTTTGTGGAATTTTTTTCAGTCCATGTAAATTTTCAAATTTATTGACATGTTTTTCATTATGCACTTATTATATTTATTTTTATTTATTTATTTATTTATTTTAGACAGAGTCTCATTTTGTCACCTTCAGTAGAGTGCTGTAACATCATAGTTCACAGCAACCTTAAACTCTCGGGCTCAAGCAATTCTCTTGCCTCAGCCTCCCAAGTAACTGGGACTACAGGCGCCCACCACAACACCCAGCTATTTTGGGGGATGAGGTCTGGCTCTTGCTCAGGCTGGTCTCAAACCTGTGAGCTCAGTCAATCTACCCATCTCAGCCTCCCAGACTGCTGGGATTATAGGCGTGAGCCACCACAGCCGGCCTATATTTTCATTATTTTTAATTCCTTTAAGATTCCCTCTTAAATTCCTGATACTGATATTTTGTGCCTTCTTTCTTTTTTCCTTATACTTCATCAATAATTTATCAGTTTTATTAGCTTTTTGAAAAAATAACTTTTTGTTTTGATTTTTAGTTCATTTATTCCATTTTCATCTTTACTGTTTACTTTTTTCTTTCTTTGGACCTCTTAAAATAGATACTTAGATTATTATTGTCAGCCCTTCTTTTTTTATAATATATGCATTTAAGTTTATCTTCTTCTAATTGTTGTTCGAGCTACATACCACAAAATTTGGCATTTCATATTTTTATTAACATATATTTAAAAATATTTACTATTTTTAAACTCGGGTTGCTCAATATATTTAGTATTAAAATATTAAAATAAAATTTAAAAATAAATACTATTTAATTTCCATTATCATTTCTTCTTTGATCCTTGAATAATTTAGAATATTATTGCATGCTTTCTAAATATTTGGGGAATATCTAATTTAGTCCCACTATAATTGGAAAACATACCATATTAGTTAGAAAATACACTGTAATAGAAAACATACTATATTAGATCAGGTGGCCATAACAAAATACCATAGACTGGGTGGCCCCTCCTGAGAAGTGCGGAGATGAACTTTATTTTCTCACAGTTCTAGAGGCTGGAAAGTGCAAGGTCACAGTGCAGCATGTTCTCTTTCTCATGAAGACTCCCTTCCTGGCTTTAGTGGATAAAGAGTAAGCTCTCTGGTGTCTGGAATGGAATATACCACAGCTTATTAATCCATTCATGGGTTGATGGGCACTTGGGCACAATCTTGGTGATTATGAATGAGCTGCAATAAACATTCTAGTGCAAATATCCTTATGATAAAATGCTTTTTTTTCTTCTTCTTTTGTGTAGATACCTACTAATGGGATTATAGGGTCAAATGGCAGGTCAACTTTTTAGCTCTTTTATGTTTTTTTCCATAGAGGTTGTATTAATTTGCAACAACAGTGCAAAAACTTTCCCTTCTCTCCACATCCATGCCAGCATCTGTAGTTTTGAGGCTTTGTGATGTGGGCCATTCTCACTGGGGTTAGGTGATATCTCAGAGTAGTTTTGATTTGCATTTCTGTGATGACTAGGGTCAATGAGCATTTTTTTCATGTTTGCTGGTCGTTATTCTGTCTTCTTCAGAGAAGTTTCTGTTCATATTGCTCTTTTCTTGTTGATTAGTTTGAATTCTCTATAGAGGCTAGTTATCAGCCCTTAGTCAAACTAAGAGCATGCAAGTATCTTCCCCCATTCTGAAGGCTGTTTGGTTTAGTTATTGAGCCCTTAGCTGTGCAGAAGTGTTTTAACTTGATCATATCCCATTCATTTATTTTTGATGTTGCTGCAGTTGCCAAAGGGTCTTCTTTATGCTTTTGGTTTACTCTCCATACTTGTCTGATTGTTATATCTTCATTGTGAAATTTCCCTTCATAAATAAAGATTTTATTCAATCTTTTTGTCCTATTATATTTGTCTTAAATTCAATTTTTTAACTTTTCATTTTTCCCTTATTTATACAAGTAAGATGTTTATTACAGAAAATTAGAAATGAGAAAAAAATAGAGAATCATCTTTATGTAAACACTAGTTTTTTCAGAGAACTAACTTATTTTTTTGATAATGAATACTTATCATAATAAAAACCAGGAAAAAAAATCCAAACTAAAGAAAATAGGCCCCGCACAGTGGCTCATGTCTGCAATCCCAGCATTTTCGGAGGCTAGGGAAGGAGGATCACTTGAGATTAGAAGTTCGAGACAATCCTGAACAAAAGCAAGACCTCGTGTGTACTGAAAATAGAAAAATTATCCAGGCATGGTAGCATGTGTCTATGATTCCAGCTACTCAGGAGGCTGAGGCAGGAGGATTATTTGAGCCCAGGAGTTTGGCAGTGCAATGAGCTGTAAAGTCGCCAGAACACTACTTGCTGTGGCTGTAGAGCTAGACTGTCTCAGAAGCAAACACACAAAAAGAATAAAGAAAATAAAAATACTACCACTTAGAGATCATCACTGTTAACATCTTGATGTATAATTATCCAGACTTTTATTCTTCATATATTGATAAATGCATGCAAAGCATAATTATAGTATGCAAACTATTTTATGACCTGTTTTTCTTTTCTAATAAAAATATATCATGAATGCATTTCTGTGTTAATAACCCGTGCGTCTACTTTATTATTTTAATGGTGCTGACATTGTGCTGTGTGAATGGACAATTATTTGTTTTCATTTTTATTGTTAAACATTTAGATGATCTCCTTCCATTTTGTAAAATTTAATTTTTTTGCTATTACCAATTACCCTGGAGAGCATCATCCTTGATGCACGTTTTAAGCATTTTTAAATGGTTTCCTCATGATATATCTCCACAGTAACTAGTTAAGAATTCCTGTCTTCTAATTAAATATTCACAAATTAAGGTAACTATTGTGTATAATTTTTTACCCATCTGATGGCAGAGACTTTTTAAAATGATAGTCTGGAGTTTTGTCACGCATACAGGAAACTAGGCACCCTCAAATGCTTCTGCTGAGTGTGTAAATTGGGAGAATCTTCCTTGAAGGCAACTTGGAAATATGTATTGAAAGCAGCTACTCTGGTTTTTCATTTTTACAGATGTTTCATGAGAAATCCTGATTTTTTCCAAGACCTTATTGGAAAGGAATCACATTATATATATGTTATAAATCCAATCCTAACATAAAAGAATTTTCTTAGGGATATTCCAAATAATGAAGCCAGGTGCCCTGAAGATTTCCTGAAGTGTGCTTTTAAGCATTTAAAATTTCTTTTGACACTTATGTAAATCATCATTGCCTTGGAATTCTATTCAAAACAAAACCCAACATTTTATTTTTGATGTATGGTGGTGGGACAGGGTGGGAACAAATCTGTTTCTTTTTACTCTGGACCTTCCCAATGGGTAAGATCTTTAAATACTTTCCTGATATTTCTTGCCTTTAAATACCATATTTCTGTATCTTAATCACACATATTGGTGGAGATTCCATGACTGAAGAATCTGCACACAGAGTGTGAAATCAGGAAGTCCAGAGGAGGATGTGACATTTTTATGCTCTGATGGTCACATGCTGTCTCACTGGGTAGTTGATCCTTCCTCACTTATTTTTTGGTACAGGTGGCACCTGGGTTCCTGGGGGGCCTGCTCAGCTACCTGTGGTGTTGGAATTCAGACCCGGGACGTGTATTGCCTGCACCCAGGGGAGTCCCCTGCCCCTCCTGAGGAATGCAGAGATGAAAAACCACATGCTTTACAAGCATGCAATCAGTTTGACTGCCCCCCAAGCTGGCATATTGAAGAATGGCAGCAGGTAAACTGACTGGCTACAACATGGCCCCTGCTCTGGTTTGAGGAGCCCTGCATAGCACCGAAGTGGGCAAAGCCCAGGGCCTCACCCCTCTTGTCTTCTTAGTGTTCCAGGACATGTGGTGGAGGAACTCAGAATCGAAGAGTCACCTGTCGGCAACTGCTAACAGATGGCAGCTTTTTGAATCTCTCGGATGAATTGTGCCAAGGACCCAAAGCGTCAGTCCACAAGTCCTGTGCCAGGACCGACTGTCCCCCACACTGGGCTGTGGGAGACTGGTCAAAGGTAAGAGTCAAGCTCACCTTCACCGTCCCTTCTTTTCTATCCCTCTTTTGTTTTGGCCTTTAAATATTTCCTCCACAAGATCAGGCTGGGAATAGTGTGAGATGAGGAGGGCTCCTAGGGTGCCACATTTAAGGAGCTGCTCATTTACTGGGTCCACATGCATGGCCCATGGTCAGTTTTTACTCGCTATTATTTATACTGTTCTCATCATCTTTCTCTTAAACAAATACCTTCTTTTGGAACTACCAAAATCATAGTCTCCCAGGATAAGCTCGTAGTCTGGTTCCCTCGCCCCTGTGTCTCCTGATATGGACGCGTTCATTATGCCCTGGCTGAACACCTTCCAGACCTGGTTTCTCTCTGCCTCTGCCTTGACTCAGTCTAGTGATGACACTTTGTTTTCCAGGTGGGGGAAATTGAACCCCAGTAGCAAGAAAGCACAGATAACCTGAGGAATCAGAGGTCTGCAGGGCCATAGAAACCTACAGAACACTGCAACCCAGCTGATGGAGCAGCACACAGGATACAGTTCCCATATTTGGATGTAGAGTGAGCACCGCACACCTCAAATGTCCCAAGTATGGGCAGAACCAACAGTTAGGTCAGCACTCAGCAATTCTTCCCAAAACAGTGTCACTCTGAGGTACCTGGGTACCTCAGTAGCAGAAGTAAGCTGCCTAAGCTCCCAGAGCAGGCAAAGTAGGAGCCAAACCCACCCCTTCTGACAGCATTCCAAGGGCTTTTCTGCAGTGGTGCCTCTCCCCTGCCTCTGTGTCGCTCTCTCACCTCCAGACTATGTGGCATCCCATGATATTCCCACTACTGAGTCTGTCAAGTCATCTGCTTGCTCAGAATATTATGTAGGTCTTATCACCTGCAGAATAAACCCTATTCACAAGGTTCCGAGACCTCCATTGGATGCCTGAGACCGTGGATGGCACCAAACCCTGTATATGCTGTGCTTTTAATCTGATAACCAAGGAGGCTACTAAGTGACTAATAGGCCAGTGGTAAAGACATTGTGGAAATGCAGGATGAAGGGGTTATTCATGTCCCAGGTGGGACAGAGTATGAGATCACATCACACTACTTAGAACAACATGTACTTTAAAACTTATAAATTGTTTGTTTCTGGAATTTTCCATTGACTATTTTCAGATCATGGTTGACTACAGTTAAATAAAACTACAACAAACAAACAAACAAACATGAATAAGAAGGCACTGGTGTGTAAGTAGCTGGCAGGGCCTTTCTTGACCAGACGGAGCTCTTATTCTAGCCCTGTGCTCCAGCTATGCCATGTACCTCTCATCTGCAGGCTAAGAATGCGAAACAGATTGTGAAGCAGAGACTTGAGGTTTTTGATCAGTTTTGTTATCAGTGTCTTATAACCTCTAGTTGCTGCCACCAGGGTGGACCTTCTAGGGGCAGAGAGCCAAGCATGACATCACAAATAACCTGGAGAAATAGGACAGTAACTGAGATCCACACACTGCCATGAGCCCCTGGGTCAGGGCCAGGTACAGTCCCAGCCTGCCCTCTCATCTTGCCTTACAACAGTCCTGGAAGCAGACTTTGTCTCCATTTCTGTAGATGAGAAAACAGAGGTCCACTCAAGATGAAGTAACTTGCCAAGGGCAGAGCTTGGATTCAAACCTAAGTCTTTGTGACCCAAGATTAGTACAAAGGGTGTACACTCCCGTATTTTATCCCAAGAGCAAAGGATTTCAAGCCTTGCAGAGCCATGAAGAGAGTTCAGCTCTAACACTACAAGCCAGGTGTCCTTGTTCAATATGCCTGACTGTTCAGGGCACAGTGTCCCCATCCCCCACACACCACTGACTGATGTGGTTTGATTATTTGCTGTAACTAGCAGGTTCAACCGAGGCATGGCTCGAGTAGGAAGTAAAAGTAAACAGCAGCAGAGCACAGAATGGCCTGCACGAGCAGCATGATGGGAGCACAGTGGCTTCACATAGGCTTGCATAAAACAATGAGAAATTTTATTATGAACAAAGAGAAAGCTTAGAGCACCTCTCTAGAGTGGGAAATGGGTCCTTCTCCCGAATGAGAAGAGAGAGACAGACGCAGGGAAGTGTGGAGGTATAATATCCTCTTTCCTCCCTTCTCTTTGTGTCTCCAGGCACCTTTGTCCTTCTCTTTTGGTCACTGACTACCGAGGTACCTCAGAGTGACATTGTTTTGGGAAGAATTGCTGAGTGCTGACCTAACTGTTGGTTCTGCCCATACTTGGGACATTTGAGGTGTGCGGTGCTCACTCTATGTCCAAATATGGGAACTGTATCCTGTGTGCTGCTCCATCAGCTGGGTCGCAGTGTTCTGTAGGTTTCTATGGCCCTGCAGACCTCTGATTCCTCAGGTTATCTGTGCTTTCTTGCCATCCCCCCACGTAAGCCCCTTTCTTTGTCCCACCTCACTAACCTCTCTGAGCACCCATTTTTTTTCTTTCTCTGAATGCAGTGGCTCTTGTGAGGATAACACAAGATATTTGATATAGAAATATCTAGCAGAATATCCCTTGCCGTACTCTTGAAGAAAAGTCCACATTTCAAGCTTAGGCTAAATTAATGGTTTTTCTATACATATACCCATTCACCAGGTTGGGATTTTTCCTGTTTTAACCTTCTAGATCAGTTAAGTGCTAATATTTTATGACTGTCTTAACTGAGAAACAATAGGCCATTATCTATATCCAAGACACTGACAGTCTATGTAAATGTTACCCTAAGCGCTCAGAAAATTCCCAGGAGAAGAAATAAACCTATCTCTACAGGGCCTGCAGAGCAGGAGTCTCCCCAGGATGCCCTGCTCCCCTTGTCTAACTCACAGGGGTCTGGAGGCAGTCCCAGTGGCCAAGACTCCCCCCAGCAAGCTGCCATTCCATAGGTTGGTGATGCAAAGGTTGGGAGGACTGTGTCTTCCTGTAGTTGGGTCCTGAAGGAGGCATGTGCTCCAGGTGAGGCAACCTCCATGCCAGAGTAGGGAGGACAAGTTCAAGTCTACCAGGGCAGCTTTATGTGCGAATGTTTGTTTGTTTTATTTCCTTCTCACTAACGCTTGGAACAACAGAGGCCCCAAGGAAGAATCATTACCTCAGGAGTTCCTTTGAGACTGAGTTACTCAGAGATCTAAACTATTAGAGAGGAGCATGCCTGGGTAGGCTAATGGAGAGGCAGTGTTTACCCCACTCAGCCAGCTGAGCTCCCATAGTGAGATCTTACCACACCCTGTTGTCAGAGAAGGCGAAGGATCTGGCTACTGTCTCCAAAGATTACGGATAGCCCTGCAGAGACAGAAGGGCCCCGCTTTTGTGGAGAAAACTCTCGGCACTGTGAATGCCTCATCTCCTTTACACTTAGTGAGGCCCAGGGATAGGCAAATGGGCTTCACTCCTGGGAACCTGTAAGAAATGAAGAATCTCAAGTCCTACCCAGACCCAAGGAATCAGAGCCTGCATTTCAGTGAGATCCCCGGGTGTTGCCCCACATATAAGAGCCTGAGAAGTGTTTTCCCCTCCTGCCCTCTTTTCCCAATGAGGGCAGGAGGGGAAAAGCCCTTCTGAGAGAAGCCCTCTGCTTCTCTCTTTTCGTCTTATCTCTGAGAACAAACCGACCTTCACAGTTTATCCTGTCTTGTGAAACAAATTCTTATCACTGGCTTTTTAAGACTGGAGACTAATGGTAACATCATCGACTCTTTCCCCTCCTTTCTCTCAGTGAATGACTGAACTTGTAGCTGGCAGTTATGTCACTAAAGGAACGTTATTGCCGTGTTTGCACAGGCTTGCCTTGGTGTCTTTGCTCATGTTGTGGCTCTCATGTCCTGCCTCCAGTTCTGAGCTTCCACACCCTCAAATCACCCAACAATTCCAACCTTTGACTCACGATGACCTTAGCTGTTCCCATATTTCAGTGGGCGGCTACTTCCTGAGCATCCATATGGTCTTCCCACCTGGCTCACAGTGTCCTGGAGGCCTGTGGCCATGAGATTGTGGACAGGTCTTCAGGCCCCAGAGAGCCCTAAGCAAGTAAAGACTCTTTCTCAAGAGTCTTTGCAAAGTCAGGGAGAATTTGAAGTTGTGTTAAACTGTTGGTCATTAGAAAAGTTCAAGCCGGCTCAGCGCCTATAGCTCAACCGGCTAAGGCGCCAGCCACGTACACCTAAGGTGGCGGGTTCGAATCCCCAGCCCGGACCCGCCAAACAACAATGATGGCTGCAACCAAAAAATAGCCGGGCGTTGTAGCGGGCGCCTGTAGTCCCAGCTACTTGGGAGGCGGAGGCAGGAGACTCGCTTGAGCCCAGGAGTTGGAGGTTGCTGTGAGCTGTGATGCCATTCACTCTACCCGGGGGGACAGCTTGAGGCTCTGTCTCAAAAAAAAAAAAAAAAGAAAAGTTCAAGCCTACTATTACGGGAGAGGCAAATCATTCACAGGAGGGGCTTTTGCTGAGAAAAAGAAAAGGAGAAAGGGGGGAGTTTACCCAGGTAAGCTAGGGTGGACCTGAGGCAGTCAGTTTCCTAGGCAACCATTGCTAGGGCAGAGAGCAAGCTATGCATACTTTAAGAGGTCAGCCCAAGCTCAGTCAAGATTCCCTCTGCTCCCAGCCAAAACCACAGCTCTGGGAAGCCCCCGTCTGGGAGGAAGAGCAGGTGGGCTCATGCACAGAAGTCGGCAGAGCCAGACTCAGCCTGTGACACCAAAAGCCCATGTTCAGACTTGAGTCCAGCCTGGCACACACTTTGCTGCGCAGCGGTTTGGGTCTCCTCTAGATTCAGCTTTCCTCCTGTTAGTTGACATTTCCTCTCATCTCAGAGTTGCTTTGTTTTGGCAGAGACTCTAACACCAAATTGCTACCCTTCCCTAAAGCATCTTGCCAAACCAGTCCCTCTGCCATGGGATGGCTCACTGGGTGGAAGCCATCCGTTCTGTGGTTCTGGATAAGGTCCTTTCACATAAACCTGGCCACTAATCCTGGACACA